CTGCATATTACAATTAAGTTATCTTTTATTATTTAAATGTTATGAAGGTGATTCATTATGACGATATTTTTAATTATGGTAAGAGTAGTTATACACAGAACAAAGAAGAGGTTAGATAAAGGAATTTATTTTTCGACCAACTCGCAACTCTTCTCCAACCATTGGGGGATTCATCTCAAATTTAATTCATCAATTAATTATATTTTATATGTTATCATTTTATGCAATACAAATAATCAAATTACTTATTTTTATGTTATTTTTCTCTCCAAAGAGACAGAGTACCTCCACAGTACCACTGACCCGAAAGACGACAGCCCTTGAGGCGAACGGTACCCCCCTGACAATGGGCCTGACCTACATAGCCACCGTGTATCGTGCCGCGTTACCATCAAGGACCGCCACGTTCACCCGCAGAAGAAAAGAAAGAAAACGGCGCGGAACAGAGAGAAGAAAAAGGACAAAGCAAACGATAATGCCTACTGCTCCGTAGCAGCCAGTACATTGCAGAATCCAACTCGAGCAGGTTTATAATGTTAAATGTTAGTAAAGGCATCAATAATTGTTGAGAAAAATGCCTTTAATGTAATATTGTCGAGCATGGTACTAAAATATTGTTGATAAGCCAAAAGAAAATTCTATGAAGGTAAGTCAAATGAAATAATTAAATGAATATATATGTTTATATAGGGAGAGGGGTTGCTCAGTGGTAAGGCACTCATCTTCCAATGCTTAAGATCCCAAGTTCGAATCCCGGCTCATGGCAGAGAAATTATTTATTCTGTTCCATCTGCTGTGGGACGACCATTCGGTGAGGAAGCCCTTCTGGGACACACACGGCATCTATAAAATGGGTACCCTTAATTAAATAATTAATTAAAAGGAAAACATGGCGGTTTGAGTATGTCCTCTGTCAAATCACCTCCTTGCAAAACCTTTGACTAAGAAACAGTACTTTTCTTAAATAGTACTGTACCCAAAGAAACTTTTTGTATGTTTTTCGGGTTTTTTTGTTATTTTTATTTCATGAAACTGAAACAAATATTCATACTAATCAATATTATTGCATTCAATATAAAAAATATTATTTTACCATTCCTTTTTCACGCTACTGGTTAGGCAATGCCCTAATTCTCGAAAGAGATATAGAATTATTCAAGATATATCGATGCCGGCTTCTTATGAATTGCGCTCTGTTTATTATAAAATTTTAAATAACCCGTGTATTCCTATCATTTATTACTCAGATGAATCTTTCCATAACTCGTTAGAATAACAAAGAAATAAAAAAGACGAGCTTAAAATCATACCTGAGATAAAAATATTTTTTTATGCCGTTGTATTGAAAACTATAACAAATACGAAAAATTTAGTATAAAAATTCTTTAAGGAAAGGTTGTTTTCGAACAGAGCAAGTTTTTTTGAGCAGTACATCATTTTCGAGAAATAAAAGGAATAAAAACAACTGAAATAAAAAGAATTTTCCAGTGTCCCGCAGCATGAAGAGGCAGAAAGTATTTTTTCCAATCCAAAATACTTATCAGTACTTTTATCCCCAATGATTTTTTCTTAATTTCCCAAAATCAAATGTTACTCCTCTTTTCATTCTATTATACAGACTCCTTTTTGTCATCCATTGAGTAGACTCCTGTAGCTTTTCATTCAGGCAGTTTGTCTAAAAAAGTGTTTCCTCACTCAATAGTCGATTTATGGTTAAATGGGAGAAAATAATCTATAATGCCGAATACGATCTCTACCTTCGGAATCATGATTAAATTGCTTCAATCAGTGTCACATCACTCTTAGAGTAAGATGCCATATCAACGATTACTAAGTTAGACTACAATTCTGCAACAAGGATAAAGTTTATTCTATAATTCACACAAGTTTACAGTTATTTAATGTAACATATCAAAAACGTTTATATTTTATAAAATAAAACATACATTAAGGTTATAAATACCTCATATGACAAGTTTATTTTTACATCTCATGAAGAAGTTTTTTAAAAAATAATATTTAGTAACTATAATTATCAGATAATAATCTGATTTCATTTTATAAAAATTATAAATCCTTTGTGAAATAAATCCAAAATAATAATAATTTTATATATCTGGGAAGCTTCATGGTGACACCTGGCTAGCTAGTTGGATAGTGGCAGGTGTATTGTTGAGCAGTCTATTTGCATACCGGTCTTGCTAACAATTGAAACGGCAAGCCTTTATCCTAATGAGTATTGTATCATTATTTATTTATTACAACGTAACGTCAGCGTAACTTATTACACACATATGGCAATTTATAAAATAAGATCGATTTTAACTAATAAACCGAATATTTATTTTTCGATGAGGTCTCATAATTTAGGATCCCAACGTTTTGGTATGTAGCTCGAAGTTTTCATAGATATGATGTCGTATATTGCAATGGTGATATTAATATATTTCGTAATATTGGGAATCATTATCTACGACTTAAGAGGTTGAATGTTGAAAATAATAAGACTATCAACAATAACTAATATAGTACTCTTCTCCCTCCCCAAGTTCGATGGCACATGAACCAACACTTCCCCTCCAATATAATAATAATAATAATAATAATAATAATAATAATGCTTTATTTATTCTGGGACAAGTCCCTTTAGAATAATATAAAAAGACAATAATATCGGCTAAGGAGCCTTAGAGATACATAAACAAAAATATACAGTAATTAAATAGTCAAAATAAAAAAAAAAATAGAAAAAATTATAAGTTACTTACTAATTTAGATCAGGTAAAAATAAAAAACAAAAAATTGAAAATAAATATGAAATAAAAATAATGAAGAACACTCTAATAATTTATATACATATTTGCAGTAGTAACTATTTACAATTTTCCTTATCTATACTATTACAATAGTAGGAAGGAATAATTGGGTAGGGAAATCTGGGAGTAAGGGATAAAAGGTTTTGCTATTAGGTGGTAAAAATTATCAAGGAAATGTTCCTGAAATTCATTCTAGTGTGCAGTAAGGGATTGTGCATTGATGTGACAGGAATTCAGGGTATTCGTCATGACTGGAGGGTTGGGAAGTAAGAGTTTGGGAAAAAAAAAAAAAAATGATCAAGGATGAAGGATAGGATATAGCATTTTTTTTTTCCTCTTCTTAAAAACATTGCATGTCAAAGTAGAATTAGAAAATCGTAGATCATATACAATTATAATTGCTGTGGTCTGGTCCATGTTTTTCTCTTTTTTTACTAGTTTGATTCTTTTCACTATTAAAATTCATAACTTAGTCTGAATGTGCCCCCTTCAACAATTTTTATAGCGCAAATAGCGCCATGACATCCCTTGTGAGTACTCTTGTGTAATACCAATAAATGATATTTTTGTTTTTAAAAATATACATAAAGGAAATATTACATAAAAAGTGCATCAGTACTCTTCTGCTCCAGTTTTGTGAAAATAACTCTACATATTGTAAAACGGCAACATATATTACTGTTTAATGTTTTGAATAACATCATTCATTGAATTTTACTATAACTATAATAAAAATATTCAAGGAAGCTAGTCGACTGTTCTACATATCCTGGGTGATAAATATTCAGGACGCAGTCTTTAAAAAAAAAAAAATTAAATTTTTTATTTCAACCAACGTTTCTACACAAACATGTGGGTCATCTAGAGGGCGTGGTTTGAGCATTGAGGGTGTTCAAGAACCCTCAGTGCTCAGACCATGCCCTGAAGATGACCCACATGTTTGGGTTGAAACGTTAGCACAAATAAAAAATAATTTTTAAAAAAGACTGTGTCCTGAATATTTATCACCTATAATAAAAATGTATATAATTTATTATTTTTATGTTTTAATCTCGTGATACTATTCTGATGAGAATTAAGTTGAAATGTTATAATTCAAATAAAAGTAAAGATTTATTCTTCGTGGAATAAATAATATAGAACACAATTGATTAACGATTACAATGTTAAAATATTCGCGTGCAGAAAATAACCCAACCGTGTATACTAATCATCGTATTAGTTAAATTTCCTAAAAGGCAACTGGTCAATAAATTGTAAAATAGAAAAAAATCGTGTTTTGGCAATTAATTTCGAGAAAAAAAAGATAAACTCAGATTAAATATAATGATTTATACATAAATTGATCTTTTAATAAAAATAATTAAATGAATCAATAAAATATATAATTGAAACAACAGGAACAAAATTAGTTTCTCTGTAAAAATTCAAGAATAAAATTTTCTATTGATTTCAATAATGAAATCCAAGAGTATTATTGATTAAAGATGATAATGGTTCCTCATATAAATGGCAATCAATTCAGTATACTATAGCGATCATGCATTTTATTTTTCTAAATGACATGATCATTATTAATTTTAACTGTATAAACGGTTGTTTTTGAGATTTGACTAATTTATGTCGTTATCGACACGTATGGTTAAGGACTTTCGAAACTCCTATTTTGATATCAGAACCATGGGCCATTTATTTCATTGTAATAAAGAGTAAATATAAAAATCTTAAAAAGTTACTATATCATAAATATATAATTATAAATCACAAATTTCGATTTCAGTAAAAATAAAAAATATATGTTTTTCGTTTATTATCAATAACCGGAATTAATCTTGTTGCCTTTATGCTGAAACAATATACAATTCTGTTGATGTAACTAAATAGATTTTATTCGTTTTCCTGACATTTACATCGATTTCTTTTATTGAGGAAATATAATTAGAAAATTAATTAATTAATTTGATGAATCCAAATGTTAATTATCATGTCGATCTCTTTGAGGATTGTTTTTATTTTTAATAATAATTATATGTCTGCTAGAATATCAACATAAAAAGTATAGAACTCTTAATTAAAATAATTTAGCGAAAAATAATGAAATCAGTAGAATTAAAGATAAAAAATTTCTTATTTCTTTTGATTATCTGTAATTAATTAACAAATTTAATGAAATTTAAAAAAAAATCAATTACCTGGAGGAGACAAAGAGAGGCGGGAATTCTGCAGGCAGCTCTTCATGCTCAAATCCACAGGTTCCAACTGCACAGGTGGCCCTGAAGCCTGTAACGAATAATTGTGATTTATTAATACAAAAATAAAATATTAAAATATACATAAAATGTGGCTGACGAACCTTTGCGGAGCTTGCATATTTAAATAAATTTTATTTAGGATTTTTAATTCCTGTTCAGTATGTTTAATTATTAAAAAATGTTTTAATTTCACTGTAACAATAACTAAAATTGCATGAGTTTTTACCAAGAAACATACTTTACATTCAATTTTATACGTACTTCGGTTTCCTTAAAAAAAAAGGTTAAAAAGTTTAAATTGCTTTCATAAATCTATCTTAATAATAATTTGAATAGTTCTAATTTAAAGCAGATTGTCACATGTATTTTTATCAAAAATGTTATTAATTTTTTCTAATTTATTTGGGTTTAATAAAACAAATCAATAAATAGTTATAATAAACATCGATAAACATCCATCTAGGTCAGAAAACAAAACTTTATTTATTTATAATCAACAAACAAATAACAAATGCCAAGAAGCAATTAATAGTTTCATTACTTATCTTAACATTAATGAATGTTTTTAATTTAGTTTGAAAACATCAATACATATAAAAGTTGCAGCTAATTACTTGTCGATGAAACAAGGGTCCTTGAAAGTAAAATATATGTTAAATTGGATCGAGAAAACCTACAAGTATTAAAACTTATCGATTAAATCATAGACCAGCATTAGCTGGAGAGTCCACGCCTGGTTAAACTTGATAGATAGTGGTGTATTTATACTACAGTTCTGTAATAATACAAAAAAAGCACATACATATTTTAACCTCTATATTTAAGAAATAACTAGTTCTCCTCTTGCCTCTTTATATGTGATGATAATTAATGTTAATTTGACCTATTTCCCTTAGTGTTTCCTTATCAAAGACTTTACGGCAATGAATTAATGTTCAGAAATATAAAACTAATATTTTGACTTTTTATAACGCCTTCTTATGTTCTGAACTACTGTGCTTCATATATTTGATTTACGAATAAACGTATTTTAACTAGTGTTTGATATTCATCAATATTTTTATCTATTTGATATTTATCAATATTAAGAACAGCTAAACTCTTAGACAAGCCATTTGGCTCTTAGTTGTGTCTTTCAGATATGTACTCGGCTTCCTAGGCAAGAAACTACTGTTTCATGCTTTATCAGTTTCTTGAGACTGTGTTACTGCAATGGGGCTTGTTATCATTGGAACGTGGGTTCAAGGTAGAGTAAAATTTGCCAAGTTACGATTTGAAAGTAAAATCTGTACCGTTTAAACATGCTTTCGGTAAATTGCACATTTGCACTAGCTCACATGTGTAACGAATTCGAAATGGCCCTAAGACTGCATGCAGAGTCGATCCATTTGAAATCATCCATACCGTGTTGCTGGACATTTTTGGTTTTTATAATTTTTTTACAAGTTAATCCTTATTCATCTGAGAGTTGAAAGCCGTAGTTAAAAAAAAAATTAAGCTCTCAGTTTTTCCTCGGCGGCCATTTTTAATTTTATTTTCGACTGAAAACATGTTTTGGAAAAATGGCCGTAACTATGGTTATTTTGTAGATAGTCGAGCCAAAATAGAAACTGAAATAATTCAGAGTATTTTCTCTACATTTCTGTTGATTAATACATCACCTAAAAAGAAAGGAAAGTGGTTGGAAAATACCATGAAAATAGAAAAAAAAAGTGACTTTTAGGGCTGCAAAACTGTACTAAAGAAAAGAGTCTCAACTAAATAGTAACTAAATTTTCATTTTTTTGGATTCTTCAAAATGTTCAAAGAGGATTAATTTTCAGTATGGAATTTTTATATAATACTTAAAAAAAATAGATTCCTAATTAAATATATATATTTATACTTGTAGGTTAGGACTTCGCATTAGGTTCTTACATTATTATTAATATATTAAATTATTGTATTCAAGTTTTATACTAATAAAATAAATATGTTAACTTTCTAGACATTATATATAGTGAGGAAAGTGTACATTTACACCATTTATACAAAAAATCTAAATAAGTTAAATAAAAAGATATATACAACACATAAAAATAAAATAAGTAAACATAAGCAAACTAAAAAAACACCGACATGCATATACAGGGTGACTCAGTTCCTGATGGCTGTTCTAAAAAGCGATTTTAGACATAATTTACAACAAAAAACTTAATGATGCATGGGTTCAGGATCTTCTAAACCAGGGTAGAGGATCCATCAGGATCCAGCTGATGGAAGATACATGAAGTAATAAACAACAAAGAGTAAAGATTTTTTTTCATTATGCAAGTTTTTGCCTACAATTTATTTTATAATCAATATAAACCACACAACTTTAAGATGTAACAAAAAACCTCTTCATATCATATAATTAATTTTTAAAAAAATTAACAGTTTTCTCAAACATGCTTCATAAACGATCGATCGATTCAGTAAATCAATAAAATAGTGCCTAGAAGTTAAGTACATACTTTACTTTTCCATTGTATATAGAATACCATTTCTTGCACCGAACCTTACGAAAGCAATTAATTTATTATCGAAAATGACAATGAATACGTTCCCACTGATTTTACTAGAAGTGGCTATATCGGAAGAATGTTATTCGTTTGTTGAATGATAGGTATAAAGCTGATTTTAACATGCTTAATGATTCGGATTTTCCTTCGAATTTAACGCTTCACTAGAGATGTCGTGAAGGAAAATGACAAGAGGTATATTAAAGGAAAACCTATATTAAAAATCAAAGGCGTGACCCTATAGCGGAGTTTGCAAAGAGTTAGAAATGATCACAAGCCGGCTCACGGTGGTAAAGAAGATTTTCGCGCCCACTAAAAGCTATTTACATATGAATAGCGGCAAGATGACGAACTGACAGATCCTTATAATGGGGCGGTGTACGTTTGTTGAAAGAGCTTTCAGTCTTGCTCAGGAGTTTTCAATTTTTTTTTTCTGGGATAGGCCTTAATCTTATCTATACAAGTTGTCACTACACACCAATCAAAAATGTTTTAATGTATACTCCGATAAAAATAGATATTATGTTGCCCGAATAATGATAGTAATTAATCACGAAAAGACTATGATTAGTAATTACTTGACTGATTAAGCGCAAGTGATTCGCGTGATGAGATTAGTTAACAAATTAATCTGACATTTAATACATGGTAGAATGAAGAAAACAAAACAATAATCAATAGAAAAACTCACAAAGCGTAAAAACAGTACATCCAAGTATCTAAATTAAAAGTTTGGCAGATATTTTCTCGAACTTTACGGAAAGTGTTAAACAGGGCCTTAAAGTTTATAACTTCTGTCAAGGGACACCCTGTGCATTAACCAGAGCATTTGACTGATTACTATAAATCTACGAGCACCTATCAAACCAAACTAACATAAAGGGAACGAAAAAAAAAATGTAATTAGGTACTTATTTCCATTGGGAAAAAAATAGAGTTATCTTGTCGGTCCAAATTGTTTGTATTATTTAATATACAAAAACTTCATAGTTTAGAAATAAAAAAATACGAAGTAATCATCCTCTCAAAGTAAAACCAAAAATATTATTGAATATTGATTCCTTAAAAAACAAAACAAAAAAAAACGGCCAATTAGAGGGAATTAAATTTCAAATTTATAACTATGCTACCAGGGCTCTGTCTTAAACAGGTGGATCTATGAGGTGGAGGGGGGCTTTCGAGCTGAAGACCCCTCTCCCCTAAATGGTGAAATGTAACCCTGATTTATGAAAAAAAAATAATCTCTCAAAGTATTATTGTTCGTGTAATTAATTACATTTTATAAGACTTAAAATATAATTTAAACACTATTTCATATAGAAGCGCTATCGCTCAAACTCCACCGGATTTGGCACCAGTGAGGCGGTTGAGAGAGTAGTGCAGGGATTTGGGTTCACCACCTGATTGTACATATTGTATATAGGTATGACTGTATTTTTATGTTTTTAATTTACTTATATTTAGGTTATTTTATTTTTTATTGTATATAGTTTTTATTTATTATTATTTAGTTATTATTTTACTTTTGTTAATTTTTTTTTTTTGTATATACGGTGTGAATGTGTTCATTTATCAAAATAATTATTGTCCCCGTGACAGAATATTATATGTTTTTTATTTCATATAGATAGTTAGTTTCTTTTTTTTTCCAAAATAATTATCGTTATAAATATATATATATATGAAAAAAAAAAACCTATCGGGCTGAAGTACCCCTCCCCAAAAATTAAATCCTGGATCCGCTAGTGCTGTCATACAAGGCATTAAACAAATGTTATCACCCGAATCGGGAGTATATTTTTACCCTGGACGGTTCTAGTTAATTCAATTGGACTTGCTAGTGAAGGAAACGTCAGTAAGTGGCAGTTTAAATTGAAGGCTAATTGCCCAGGGAGCCAAAGAAGTATTTTTCTCATTAGCGAGAAATAGCTGGGAGCAATGGGGTCATGCAAGGCTCAGTCCGCCAGTAGAACGCTAAAAATCTTAACAGTCCGCCTCTTAGCTTCTCGCCAATTTGGAGATAAGTCTACTCCGAGATGTGGAAAGACCCGCAGATTAGGGGCGTGTCTTGTTATTAAATTAATATAGCGTGTCCTTATAAGATGGGTGCAGAAGTTTAGTATAATTTAGGATAATGATGATTATGATTTAGGATAAATGATAATGATTAAGACGAATTACATTAAATTTTTGATGTATTTGTATCAAAATAAAATTCCGTAAAACAGGAAAAGATAAGAGAGAAAGTGCGATATTCAGTATAACGCCGTATTAAAGAATTATAAATATATATTTTTTTGATAGCTCGAATCAAAAGCCTGTTATTCGAATTATATACTTGAATTAATAGTTCCTGAACTTGAACTGAGAGAAACTAAAACAGCAAGTGGGTCTCTTAGTTCTGCAATTAATTACTTACCACCAATCCCTGACTGCTACTTATGGGTTGTCATACCGTATTAGTTTAACATTTTTTTTTTTTTCG